GAGAGAGAGAGAGAGAGAGAGAGAGAGAGAGAGAGAGAGAGAGAGAGAGAGAGAGAAGTTACTTCAGAGGACAGTTCTCAGGAGTTGGTTCTCTCCTACCTTATGGGGTCTAGTGATGGGATTATGGGATTTATGTCCTAAGACCTGCCCATTAGTGCCTCTACCCACTGAGCCATCTTGCTGCCCATCCAGGTCCTTTGAAAGACAGAGTTGACTGCTTGCTCATCTCTTCTAGTCGTTATCAGTTTGCATGAAATGCCCCCTCCCTTATCACCCCCATTTGGCTTGTGTCTTTTGTGAATGCCATCCTTTTCTTGGGATGATTATATCCATTGCAGTAGTCTCTATAATTTCCATTAGAAACACTATTCTCCCCTCCAAAGTTTTATTCTCACTGTCCTTTTAATTTTGGCTTGCTTTATTAGGTGACTCTTGTCTTTTGACTTTTTGTTCTATATATAGAGGCAAGGGCAAAAAGACGCTCAAGGATATGCTAATGATGCTCCCTCTGTAGGGCTTGAAAGGCCACAGGGACTGCATCGCACCTGGTGGAATGCAATGAGGTGGGGGAGCATCAAGGAGCAGCTGCCAGCTCTTCAGAAACATGAGCCAGCCTGCCTCCTCCTCCAAGCAGGTTTGTGACTGGCCAGCCATCTGCAGCCTCAGGGTTTAGGTTTACCCTTCATTTGACTGATGAACTACTTCTTGACGTCTAATGATTTTTAATATATACATATATGTAAATATTGATATATATGAATATTTATTTGATATATATGGATATCTATATATCATCACTGTGGAGATGAAGTACTTCTTGTCTGGGTTAGTTTATAAATTATAAGAAAAAACATGATTTCAGTATCTACAGTATAACCCTCAGAAAGGATAGTGGTGATCTCACTGTTAATAGTTGTTAGAGGGTCTGTGCCAAATGCACCGGTGGAAGTGGTAGGAGAGGCAAAACCAGTTAGCTCGAGACAGGTGCACAGAACCCTTTGCTATGTGGGGAGGGCATAGAGGAAACAAGAGGAATAGACATAGAGACTAGACTTGGGTGGAAAAAAATCACTGTTTTTCTTTTTCTTTAATTCTACCTGTATTGACTTTTTCTTCAACACATGATGACGTGGAAGCCTTTCATTTGGAAATGAAACTCTTGACTTCTTTTCATTCTTTCTGCCTCTCCTTTATGTTTTTTTTTTTTTTAACCTCCCTGAAAGAACAGTGTGCTTACCAGCTTTCCATCACCGTGACAGAATGCCGGAGGGAATGAACTTAAAGGGAGGGGAGGTTTGTTTTGGCTCCCAGTTTCTGTACTTTTGGTCCCCAGTTACTCAGCCCAGTAGCTTCGGGTCTGAAGTGAGTCTATGGTGAAGGAAAGCAGCTCACTTTACAGCAAAAGGGAGCAGAAAGCAAAGAGAGGCTGGGATCCCCAAATCCTCTTCAAGGCCAACCTCAATTACATGACCCCTTTCCTCTAGGCCATAACTCTATTACCTCTCAACACACTGACCAGTTGGGACCAGGCTGTCACCGTGTAGATTTCTTGGGGACATTTAATATCAATAGCTAGTGGCACTGTGTCTCTTTTAGTCCCATCTGGTTTCCTACCTGATATGGCATGTCTTCTCTACTCATCTTACCTTAAAATTGTTCCTGTCAAGTTGGTTGGCTTTTTTTTAATGTGTTTCACTGGATAGCCTCAGACTTGCTATATGGACCAAGCCAGCCTTGAACTGACAGAGATCTACATGGCTCTGCCCCCAGAGTGCTGGGACTAAGCCGTGCACCACCATGCCTGGTTATCAAATGAAAATGTAGATGACTCCCTTCTCAAAGCTTTCATCTCTTCTATTTATTTTTTCTTGTGTGTTCATGTGCATATATGGTGTGTGTGTGTGTGTGTGTGTGTGTGTGTGTGTGTGTGTGTGTTATGCCATGTCACAGAAATGGAGGGCAAGGGGACAGTTTGTGGAAGTCAGTTCTCTCCTGTCCTCAGAGATCACAAAGTTGGACTTAGGTCATCAGGTTTATTAGTGAGCATCTTTAACCACTGAGCTATCTTGACAACCCTCAAGGCTTTCATATCCCTCGGCTTTGGTACCACTCTTAATGAGTCCCTGTCCATCTCTGTGGTCATTTGTCTCAGCCTGTTTTTCTGTTGCTAATGGGACAATACTACAGTTACAAAGAAAAGAGGCTTCATTTTAGTTCCCAGTTGAGAATCCTTATCTGATGATTGCTTATTGCCAGAGCCCCAGGACGACAAAAATCATCCAATGACCAGAAGCAGAGAGCACACACATCTTTCATGTCCTTTCATAAAGCCACTAGTATTCAACCAGGGGGTGACACCTTCTGTCCTTATTCAATCCCAGTCACCTCTCAAATGTCCACCTCTGAATACAGTCAGGTTAGGTTTCTATGCTTTTACCACCTCACCAATGAGCACTGGATTTCATCATGAGTTTTGGAGGAGAAAGCTGTATTTCAATCAGAGCACCATTCATCTTTCTGAGTCTTCTTGAGAGTTTGCCTTTCTTAGTTACTGACCTAATTCCCAGCTAACTCTTCGAGCTCTTGAAACGCTCCCCTTCATCTCATTATCCCCACTTGGTTATTGTCATAGACACTGCAGCTTCTTTATAAGCTCTCACCTACACTACCAAATCCTATTAAAATTGCTTCTTAGTAGGATATTGTTTTGAAATATTAATACAAATTTTCCTCCAAGGCTCGCAAAGACTATATTTTATAGCCTTTGTCTTTCTTTCATTTAAGCAGCAGAAGTCTGTTTTAAGATGGGGGTATCACATTAAAATAGAAGATAGGAGTTTGGGTTCAAATTGTTTCAATTTGGAGTTGATATGAAGTAAGAAACTGTGGCTCTGGGAGACCTAAGGATTAACAATAGATCAGGGGGTTAAAGGGTAGGAAGTAAAAAAATAATCAGTAGGTTAGGGAAAAGGGAGTCGAAGTTGACTCTGTCCACTAAATATTCTTCGGATTATGTGGAGAAGGGGTAAGAAGTTGAAGAAGAAACAAGAGACAGGGCATCCTCCAGAAGAGCTCAAGGACCAAAGACCAATCATGGCTTTTATTTAAAAAGTCTTCTTCTAGTCCAATAGGAAGCAAAGGAGAGAATGAGGAAGCATCTTCTTAGAGGATAAGTATGATCCATTCCACATTTATGTCTATGTGCGATTGACAAAAGAATACATAGGTAATGGCTTCACTTTCATAGAGTAAGTCAAAGCTAGGACGGTATGACGGGTTGAGAATGAAGATGTGTTAGTGCTAAAACTAGTTGTATTCAGTTTAATAAAAGGTTCAGAATGAGCCAGAAATATGCAGTGCTTCTGGGATCTTACCATTATTAGAGTTTGTATTAGTTTCTTGGCATGTAGGGTCTAGTGTCCAAAAGTATATATTTTATAATATTTCAAAGGGAATTCTTGTAAGTTCTGCTGACATGAAAAGTTTTCCAATGTTCATTTCAATTGTTTATATGCACTTATATTAGGGAATATTAAGTTTGCAAACTATGGTGAGTTATTCATATTAACAGCATTCTCCATTACAATTGCATGAGCTCTTTGAGGGACAGGTCTCATTGTATGTATTTTCATAAATAACAAGACATTAACAGGAGAATGAGTTCTGTTAAAGTTTGTTAATGATATGACTGCTAATCCCTTAATTTCATCTTCTTTTATTTCTTCTAGGCTCCCTGCTTTGTTGACCTGGGAACGTGATCCTCCCACACCAAATACAGCATAGTTTGTTAATTTGACCGTGTGGATCTTCCTGTGACCTACTCAGTTAATTTTCAGAGCAAAGTCCTGCAAATGGCCCCAAGAGGCTTGTTTGGAAGAGGATCTGGAGAACTAACCCCAGCTGATAACACACGATCTCCAAGGAATCCAGACATTGCTGATGCATTTGCTGGGTTATGGATAAACTGGTCCCAGCAGTTGCATCATGCCCTGAGGCTCACAGTTAAGGAACATCTGAAAAGCATTTGGAATGTCTCCACCATCAGACTTAGGTAGATCACATGATGTCCACTTTACTCATGCATCCTGTCTTGCCTAATTTTAACCGGTTAACTTGGCACAAGCTAGAGTTATCTGGGAAGAAGAACCTCAGTTGAGAAATGCCTCCATCAGATGCATGTAGGTAAGTCTGTAGTACATTTTCTTGATTGATGGTTGCCATGTGAGCCTCACTGATGCTGGTGCCACACCTGGGCAGATGATCGGGACCAGATGGTTCTATAAAATGAAGGCCGAGCCAACCATGTAGAGCAAGCTAGTTAAGCAGCAACCCTTCGTGGCTTTTGCTTCAGTTCATGCCTTGGATTTCTGACCTGATTTCCTTCGTGATGGACTCTTAAGTTGTAAGCAAAAATAAGTCTTTACTTAAGCTACTTTTGGTCATGGGGTTTAACACAGTGATAGAAGCCATGTAGACCACATCCCATCCACATGCCATCCTTGAGGACTGTAGCAACAGTTGTTAAAATGATTAAGAAGTCTCGAGGCTTCTGAGATGGGAACCTGCGGTCTTTGGGTGGCAGAGGTGAATTTTTCCCTTGGTAGGTCTTTATCCTACAGTCAAGGGCTTTGCAACTCTAGAACAGTCAAGTTGGATAAAATGTTGTCTACCTTAAGAGATTATAATTATTGGAAATCACCCCTGTACTTAGATCCAAATTCATACATTGGATACAAATAGCCCCAAATAAATACGTATTCACTCTCTGTCCTAGGTTCAGAGTCTCAGTGTTATGTGTAGGTTTATTAATGAGGAACATTAATGGTTATAAGAAGTAAAGACAGAACACACCTAAACCAAACATAATACACCGTACATCGAAAGATTTTAAAAGAATCATTAGGCTAAGGCTGGGAATTTCAGGAATATAGTCTCTTAGATATTTATTGTAATCTTCAAAAAATAAAACAAGATAAACTCAGAGAACAAAACCACTTTCCATACAGAATTCACACATAAACTAGATACCTAACAGAGCACGTACCATTTTTTACACAATTAATTTCAATAGTAATAATAATAATTTCACAATGTGAATACGCTTTATAGCTTTAAACTCAGACAAGAGCTTCTGTGGACACAGGAAGAGTCACGATACTTGCTATGCAGTGGTAGTTTTCAACTAAACATCACAATCACTATAAGAAAGCATTAAATATTGTCTCAAGGAGAGTTCCACAGTGTCATCACCAGGAAGGAGACCAAAGTACCCGGTCGCAAAGGAGAGTCTTTCTTTGTGCATTGTTCAATGTCCCTAAACAAAACCAGAGCTACAGAAAAGTCTGAACTCATATCTGCCTGGGGGACGTCAGGTTAGGCAATGTCTTGTGGTTTGCTTTGTTGGCAAATGTCTAAATTAACTGCTCTAAAGTGGCTTGAAAGCGGTTGTGTTTTGTGGCTGAGCTGAGGCTGCTCAGTGCAGGGGGATACAATGATGTAGCTAGCAGCTTGCCTTCTCCATGGAGATCAGAATGCAGACAGCTAAGCTGGGTAATTTGTGGGTTTCAGTCTCCATAGTTGCTAACTCTGCCACCCTTCCACTCACAGGGGACGCGGTGTGGCTTTTTGCATTGGCATACTTGGCACAATCTCCTTACCACCTCATTCTTCCCGGGATCATGGTCCTGCATAGGAGCCACCCTTGACTCGTCTCGTTATTATAATTCTCCATTTTTTGGGCTCCTATATGCTGCCATAGTCTACCACTTAGATTGCACCATCTACTTTTACCATATTTCTTCCGTGTTGGATTCCCATAGTGCTGAGCACATGGCCATCAGTGACCATGTGACAACAAATGAAACATTTAACCACACTCATCAATATCATTCTGTGGTCAGCTACCTGTTTCTACTTTGATTTTCCTTTTAATTTGGCACTAAATCTTCATTATCTCCATCTTCCATCCATCGCTTTCACCTCACTTCTCGAGTGGGTTTTGAGAGATGAGCACAACTTCCTACCTGGCACAGTGACATTTGGGCCACATATTGCCCACACAACTCAGCATCACTGAATATGATTGGCACTCTTCATATGTCAACCTCTGGTCAGATGTTATAAATAGAACAGAATGGTTACTGTGTACAGGTAGCCATGGTGTCTGGAACCAACTGCACTCCATTGATTTCAGTGACTAAACCATGCCTCCTAAAGGTATAATGGATTGCTACAATCATGAGAGAAAATGAAGACTGATAAAATTAGGCTTTACCTTAATAATTGATATAGAAAATAGGAAATTAAAGTGGTGATCTAGCTTAACCTTCACATACATATTAACTGTGATAATCCTACTAGAGTTTTAATGTGTGTGTGTGTGTGTGTGTGTGTGTGTGTGTGTGTAATAACACTCAAAACGGGTTAAGGAGTTTGATTGATTTCTCTTTCTTTTATATCAGCATTGTGGACAATTGAGAGTTGAAGGTGGATATAACATTATCTACAAACTAAAAAGACACTGATAATGCTAAGAGATCCCAAGGCTGACATTGCTGAGCTTGCAAACAAAGAACAAGATTAAGCAACAATAAAATATATATATACAATACAAGAGTGGAGCATTTCTGCAGACAGAACATGTGATCAACTTTCCTGAGGAGAAAAGGTGATTTCTCGATATGCATATTCTTCTTAGGTATCTAAATTAGCTGCTTAATACACTCTTGTACGAAGATTAGGGAAAATTCTGAGCTATAGAGGTGAATACTTTTATAAAACAAACTCACAGCATTCTTTCTTGGAAATGAAGCCCACAATTCTAAAAGGTAAAACTGACAATGTGTTTTCAGATACTAAATGTTTGGTTTATAAATGGGAAAAAAAAGATACTTTTCAGTAGGCACAGAGGAGATTCCCATGGTGCCAGTAAAATGTTTACTGTGTAAATTGCACCACTGGACAAATACTACTACAAGAAATCATTTGAATAAGCACATGGCTATCAAAGCAACTCACACATTCATCATAATTCACTTTCACACTAGTTTATATACACTGAGTAAGTCATTAAATATTGCACTTATTGGCCCATGAACCCTCAATTCTGAGGTGTTGAAAATAGAAAACAAATCTATTTTTTAGAACATACTTCATGCAACATTTACGACATTTCAGTTCTACAAACACCATTAAGTAGTTGTACATTTGGACAGTTGAATGGCACCACGTCACATCTGACATTAACAATATATTAACAGGAATTACAGGACAGTTCCCATTCATCACACTTTCTAGGGATGATGAAACAAGGTGTGGAAAAATCATCACATCGACACACCAGACAATCCTCAAGCTTCACTTTGACAAGGATTACGGACTCACTAGTAAAATACAGGTCATGCTTACATCCCTGACAGGCCAGATAGACACGCAGCTCATGTGCTATCTGTGTTTATGAGAACAGCATTCATGAACCTAAGCAATCCTTAGCCACAAATGACAGTAATATGGTGATATTTCCACTACATAAAAAAGCCACAGCAACTCTCAGTTGTCCACAATGAAGGAAAAAATGAACACAAGTGAAAGAAATACACAGGTAGTACACAGCCTCATTTCAGCAAGTAATAACTGATGGAAAGTCCACCAACAACAATTGCTGAGGGGAAATTAAAGGTGAGACTTGGTGACATTCTGTAATGATAGTGCTTTTAAAATAGCCTAAATGATTTTTTAAAAATCTGGAAGTATAAAATGACCATGCAAAAATAAAGTCTAACGTGTCCTTAGCTACATGATCTACTCTTAATACTCCACTTCAGGTGCGGTTTTGAGACGATTCATTTCTGTTACCTCCAATGTTTGCAAAATGCACTTTCTCTTCACCCTCTCTGTTTTAGAAGGCGTGGCCACAGACTAAACAAACCCACAGGAAGAATTCGTTTCATTGAACTTTTAAGTAAGATGTGAGTTACAGATAGTGCATAGCAAAATGCCCCCTTTTCCCTGCACGGAGAAAGTGCCGTCAATGGGGATTTTCTCTTCACCACAAAAGATGTCAGTGTTTGCAAGTGTGTGATGAGGGGGTAGTGGTAGGAGTGTGTCCCAGCTGTAAATATGTCAATACCCTGTAGGAAGTTGTTTTATGGGAGTGCCAAGCATTTTTAGAATGGTTTAAAATTACATTTGCTTATGAAATACCACTAACAATAAGTAGGCAAATTTTATATAAATCCTCAATACTTATTTCCCCCCATTAGGGGATACTATATGTCTAGGATCTAGAGCCCTTTAGGTGCAGTATAAAGGCAAAGATTTTTTTCCCCCATCTGTTCATAAACTTTATCCAAATTTATCTTTTACCTAATTTGTCCTAATTAAACTCAAGGGTGTAAAATAGGTTTACATCTTAACTGATTTCTAGAAATAAAAAAAAAATTCACATACAATATAAATAACTCCAAAAAGCTGGTTTGACTATTGAAAGGTTGAGCATACCAAGGAGACTTCTCCATTCCACCGACAGACATCTAAAGTACAGGCAGCATCCACTAACAGGCAGATCTGCGGACACTGGACCATTCAGAGTGAGCAGAAAGGCCTTCTGGGTCTTGTACTCGGGTAGCACCCTGACACACCCCACTCAGAGTGCACACAAAGGAAGTTCCAGGGTCTGTCATGAAGACTAACATTTCGACAAAGACAGTTCCCCAGACAGATGGGCCAGTTTGCAAGCACACCAAAAGGTATCTGATTAAACATTCCAACATTGCAATGAAGAGTAGCAACGAACAGTGACTTTTCAGTCTAGGATAGTTTGGGTCATGTTTCTAAAATCATTCATGTAACCATTTTTTTTTTCATATGCAACTGCTATCTCAGCTTAGTTAAGCTTGATAGAGTTTAGATACATTTTTAATACAGTCCCACACATGCCACACAAATAACTAAAACACCAAAGGACAAACCTAGCCACCCACTGTGACAGATAAAGCATGTCAGTGAACCACTCTGAAGTTAATGCTGTTTAGTGGAAGTTCAGTTAGTACTGGAATGCATTTTGTTTTAAAATTATTGTCACAGACATAATTAAAATTAGAAGCTTAAGTTAGATCCTGAAAAAAAATGATAAACTTGCTGAATAAATGAATCTGGGCATGAGTGAAGTGAAATAAATGCATTTCTAATTGAACACACTGATGTCTTGCATAAGTGTTGCAATTTTGTGGAGTTTATAGTCCACATTTATCAGTACAACTGAAGCATCCTCATAGGTCCTCTAATACAAACTTCAGGACTTATTTGCCTGGTAGCAAGCACTACGAAACTTTTAAGTGGCCCCCAAGAGGACCTTCACAAACCTCTTGTCCCTTGTAGTCATTAGACGCTCATGCTGGCAGTAGATGCTGTTTAAAGGGGGAAACAATAGGGAATTGAGTCATTGTTCTAAAGTACTTCTTCCTTTGAGCCCCGAGAAGTGATGCTTATGGTTTAGCTTGCCTTCTTGAGACTGAGGACACCTTGTGAACCTCCCACATCCGTTCACACTTCAAGGTGGCTGCTTAGGCGAAGGGAAAGGGATGAACCAACACCAGAGCTCTGGGGCGGGGCGTTCCTGAAGCAATTGGGGTTCGGTTCTAAAAGCTATTGAATGCGCAAGGGTGCCCAAGTGACCACAGAGGATGGGGAAGACACGCTTAAAATACTAACTTAATTGCATCAGAGACAACAAGAACTGATGTCTAAGACCTACAAATGAAGACAAGTATGTAGTTTTTAAACATCTTTTTAGATACGACTTCAGCCAGGTCATTGGTCAGAAGGATCTATGCATACTTAGCTTGATGGCAGGAGGTGTAGTGCGTATTCGTACATATGTATGTAGTGGCCAAAGGTTGACAAATCTTAGGATTACAGTGTTAGAATGGATAAGCTATAGAGCTCAAGGCTTATGGATGTTCTATTATCCAGTTTCCATTTGCCAAATTTGATTTTTACAACCAAGATATCTTGATGGTGTGAGGAATGGTGACTTCTCTCCTCCAGGGTCATGGCAAGAACATGGGCAGCCTTCTCTTTTAGTGACAAGTCTCTCTGGAAATTTTTATTGAATTTTTGGGATGAGATACACTGCAGTGTGGGAATTTCATATCTTAAAATCAATTGGGAAGACTATGTTTCCATGGGAGTTTGGGAAATAGGAGTGACATGTTCTGGGGGCAACGACACCAGGATTACTGTTGCCCCTTTGACCACTGACTAGCTCATAATGGTCTAATTTTGGGGTTCCTGGTAAAGTGTATGAGTGGGCACTTGGCTTCAGTCGGTCAGTTTCAACCAGTACTTCAGGGAATTTTCAAGTAAGCTAATGTGACCCTTTCTCTCTTACCTGCTCTCAGTTTATAACACACACACACACACACACACACACACACACACACACACACACACACACACACCATTCTTCTGAAGAAGCCATTTAAAGTACCTGAACAAGCCCTTTTACACTCTTCAAATGCATGAAAACAAGGAGGCCCAGGCTTCCTGGCTTTATTGTTTTGTATTAGACTGTAGAAATGATTTTGATGTGTATAGTATTCAACATGGCCACATTCCAGCCCTGGTCATAGAAATAGGACCATGCCATCTGAATACATAACTACTGCAAAGAAATCCGACTTTATGCCCCATGCTTCTCTCTTCTCCGTCACATTAATTTCTATGATTCTTGAATCTAGGTGTCATTAAAATTTAATAAGACATTGGTGTCCTCTTCTCTTTGGTGAGCCAAGGCTTGCTCCTCTGGGTGTCCACATGGAAACTTACCACTAATTTCTAAGTTTGAAACTAAGCAGATGAAAAGAAAATGTGCACATACTATCTTATCAACAGCTGTGCCAGCAAGCTTGAGTTAAATACTTTCACAACATATTTCTCTGTTTTGAAGGAGGGGTTGGATCTTTTACACAACCACTCAAAAGGAAAAAGTTCACCTAACGAAACTGTCCTGTCCTTCAGGCTGGGTTACCTGATATCTTCAGAAGATCCTAGCCACAAATACTTCTGGAAGGTAGAGACTCTCCCTGCACTCGGCCCAGAGGGTAAGATTTGTTGTTGGTGTATCATTTCTGTATGGTCTTCAGGAAACCTAGAAGAAAACACTGGATGTTCCAAGTGTCTCTTCTCTCTCTCCAACTGCCATGGCGCTTCAATTTTCTGTACCCTTTCAGCTCTGGAATCTTCTGTGTACCTTGAACATATTTATATGATGAGAGCATGCTTTAGAATTCTAAATCCTCTGAAAAACATGGCAATAAAAATGATCTTTTCCTCAGTGTGGGATTCGTGGGAAGGTTACCCAGTTGCCTTCTGAATAGGTGGGAAAGCTTAGCTGACATTGGAATAGAGAGCAGTGGTTGGGAAGCTGGCCTACCTTCTCTGAGAAGGGACCCTGATGGAGCATCAAGCCAGTCTCTCTTCCAGAATTGGTGCTGGCTCCAGAGAGCCATGGTGGTGTTTTGTGGAGTGGGACAGGTCTCTTTAAGGAATGGAGGCCACTCAGGAATTGTGTGGCTCCTCATGGCACTCCTGTTACTGCACTTGTTGCACAACTGACATTAGGTAGAAGCCTCCTCATGGGTCATTGCTCTCACATAGACAGACAAGGGCAGAATCAGTAGGAAGCTAAGTCCTGCAGTAGGGTACACAGACCTCGGCTGTTCTTTATGTGGATCCAGTTACATTAATATTACTGACTTGCAAGGGCCTTAGAAACATTTCAATTTCATTTTCTTTTCTATTTTTTTTTTCATGGTAAGAGTTTAAAAGATTGTAGCTCAGGCTTACTTTAATTCATCCTCCTGCCTCAGCCTCCCAGTACCACTGCACCCATCCTCTTCATTTTTTTTAAAGAGTTAATACACACTTCAATTATTATTAATAAAAGTGCAATGTATATACATTTCCTAATAGTAAACTGCTCAAACCTCTGATAGGGTCTCCACTCAAGAGCAAAAGTCCCACTTCCTTTTCAGCCAAACTAAGTTCCTGTCATCTTGCCCTGCTCACAGCATACACATACAGGAGGTCCCTAGTCATCACCCATACAAGTGAGAAGCATGATTTGAATCCATGACACAAAAGTTATGTGCAGTGAAATTATAGTCGGAGGTTTCAGCAATAGCTTAATTGACCAAAAAAAAAAATTGCAAAAAAAATTCTAAAAGACAAATAAATAACAAGTTACATGCAAGTACCAGGTGTTTATAGATGAAAGTTCCTTACAAATGTAAGCTCGAATTTGCCACGTATTAACACAGGAAATTGCTCAAGGTTTGAATGCATATATGGGCCACTGACATCAAAGACTTCCTTCAAAGAATTCTTAGGCAGTATAAGTGAAGGCTAATCGACCATTTATAAATGCTATTTCTTGGCCACTGGGGAGCCACGTGGAGCTCCTGTGTGGGAGACATTAGCAGCCACAGTTGGGCTGAGGTGGGGGAGGTGTTTCCTTGAGTCTGGTGCTCTGCTTGGCAGCGGTGATGGCTGGGTCGGTCTCCAAGCTCTCTGACATTTTGTCACAGATGACGTCCACGAGGCGCTCAAAGGCTTGCTTCACATTGATGTTGTCCTTGGCGCTGGTTTCAAAAAACTCAAACCCTGGAGGAAACACAGAAACAGTTCCGTCATTTCTCGTTTCTGAAGTTCAACGGACTCAGTGAGGGTTGTGGATGTTGATGAGGTGAAGGTGGTTTTTGAATGTTAATGAGGTGATGATGGGAGATGCTGTGGTTTAGATTGAGATGGCAGCTGGACATGAAGAGCTCCTCACTGACCATGAACAGGGAGTTATAAAGTGGGATTGGTGATGTTCATCCCACTTGTGGCTACTGGTTCATTTATGCTATCAGCAAGGGCAAAGAGATTTTCTGAAAGTAACTCAAGAGTATCTTTAAGAAGAGTATCATTGGGGCTGGAGAGATGGCTCAGTGGTTAAGAGCACTGACTGCTCTTCCAGAGGTCCAGAGTTAAATCCCCAGCAAACACATGGTAGCTCACAACCATCTGTAATGAGATCTGGTGCCCTCTTCTGGCCTGCAGGGATGCGTGCAGGCAGAACACTGCATACATAATAAATAGAGCATAGCCCTGGGCATTTCTGACAAGATGAATCAATCCCTAGATGGCATTATCATGAGACAGTGGTTGGGGGTGTATACTTGGGTACTATATTTTCCCGAGTCACCCTGGCCACCACAATGTGAATATTGTTCTGCTCGGCCACGAGACTGCCTCTTCTGGATAAATGGAGCCATACAGCTCCCCCTTCTCTTAGGTTGTTTTGTCTGGCCATCATATAGCACTTACGGTCTTTTCTAAAACTGACATTGACTTTCATTCTTTTCTCATTTCTGCATTCTGTCAGTCATTAGATTTCTTTCTTTCTTTCTTTCTTTCTTTCTTTCTTTCTTTCTTTCTTTCTTTCTTTCTTTCTTTCTTTCTTTCTTTCTTCTTTTTCTCTTTTAGTGGAAGGTTTAGAAAAGACACTGTGCAAATTCTACCTAGAGAGGGACCATGAGGTTCCCATACAATCGTGTTCTAACTTTTTTCCTGTCTGTCCAGTGGCTGCCCAGGTCTAAGACTAGGCTTCATGTCCTGTGTTTAACAGGACACGAGGTGGCGCTAAAGAGTCACAGAAATTATCCCAGGCCTGTTTGAACCTTTTCAACTAGGTGTTAATCCAACAGCCCTGCAGGTCTTCCTATAATGCTGCAAGGATGATCGGGTGGGGGCTGACTTCTCCCTACCCCGTCTGTCTATAGCAGTAAAGTTTTGAATCAATGAGAAAGGAAACAGTAAATTTCAAATGAGCAGCAAAGCTACAAGAGGATAGGAAGTGAGGGGCCAATTCCCACTTCCGGGATGTGCCTGGCTGGAAGCAGCCTCAGCAGGCCGCTGTGTACACAATGTTATCATTCCATTGTTTGCATTCACATTCCACTGGCTGGGCTTGCCAGTCAGTTGCCATGGCAACTTCCCCACTTGGCCTGCCAGAGATTGGTCTGGTCTGCTGGGGGGGGTGGGGGAGGAGGATGTTGATTTAGGATGTGTTGGGCAGAACACAGAAAGCCTTTTCTAATCCATTCTCAATTTTACACCCTATAAATCCTTCTGGTTACATCTGGTCCTATCTCAGAGGAGACACAAAGATTCAGAATGATTAAATCCAGTGATTTTTTTTTTTTTTTTAATGCCTGGCTCCTGGAACCACAATAAAAGGAATAGCCAAATACTTCACATCTATGTCCAAATCCCCTTAATAACTAAAAAATATACTTATTTTCTTAAAGAAAGAGAATTGAAAGAGAAAATGATTTTCATGAGTTACAATTTCTAATTTTTAGACACTGCCATTTGATCAGATGATTAAACCCAAGTTGCCTCTTAGCTGCTGCCCTGATATGATCCGAATGAGTTATTGCGAGACTTGGGAGGTTAATCGTCAGTAGAGCAACGTTCTAGAAAACAGCCCAAGGTATTTCAGTCCATCTTCGGCATCCATTTCTTTGTTATTGCTTTATTGTCTGCACAGTGATCACGTCATTCTCTTACAGCGGACACTTCTTTATCAACAGACAAGGCCAGGTGGCGTGCGCAATGCTGAATTTTCTAATGTCAGCACAGTCCTTGGGTCCAGACCAAGGCAGGGCAGGCACCCTCTGGACGATGTCAGATGTCATTGCTTAATTATCAGAGCTCTTTTGCTGGCTGTTGTGTGGTGTCATCGTCCCAGGATCAATGGAGACGGACATCTGCTGTGGGATGGTCTGTATGTCAAATCTGTTGTTCTGATTGATCAATAAATAAAACACTGATTGGCCAGTGGCCAGGCAGGAGGAAGTATAGGTGGGACAAGGAGGAGAAGAATTCTGGGAAGTGGAAGGCTGAGTCAGAGACACTGCCAGCCGCCACCATGACCAGCAGCATGTGAAGATGCCGGTAAGCCACCAGCCACGTGGCAAGGTATAGATTTACAGAAATGGATTAATTTAAGCTATAAGAACAGTTAGCAAGAAGCCTGCCACGGCCATACAGTTTGTAAGCAATATAAGTCTCTGTGTTTACTTGGTTGGGTCTGAGCGGCTGTGGGACTGGCAGGTGATAGAGATTTGTCCTAACTGTGGGCAAGGCAGAAAAACTCTAGCTACAGATATCATTTCAGAAGATCCCAATAACACAGTGGAGATGTAAGATCTTTGGCTGACACTTTGGAGGAAAAAGAATTCTGAATTTGGGACAAAGCCAGGACAAGTGACAGTTTCAGTTCCCCCATCATTTCAGCCAGTGCTTCTGTGACATGCCAGTGTGATTGGGAAAGTGCCCAACTTGAAGTACTGAGCCATTGCAGAAAGATGTGGATTCACACCCCCCTTGGTCAAATGGAAGTGCTTTGTCTGGACATTAAGTCACTTGATGCTGCTGCTGTGTATGATGGGGACAGTAACATGATCTCCGATCACAAAATCAAAAATGCCCCGAACTCCTCCACATTATGGTGGGATCCTAGGAATAGGAGGTTCCACAGTGGAGAGTGTCTAGGAGACCTGTGCACTATGACAACATTCATCTCTCCAGCATGGCAAGAAGGCCATAATAGGATGAAAGTGTGGAGACTACCAGTCCAAGTACCTCAGCAGCCCGCTGTTAAGATGCTAGTTTTTTTAAAAATCCTCGTTGTTTTAGCTTTTCATTTATTGTATGTGGTCATGGATGTATGTGAGTGTGCATGTATGTAGCACATCTGTGGAGGACAGCAAGCAAGAATCTCATCTCTCCTACCACGTGGGTCTGGGGGTGGAACTCAGGGCATCAGGTTTGGCATAGAGTTCCTTCACGAACAGAGCCACCTGGCTGGTCTGACATTCCAGAGCTTGTGCTATGAGCAAATGGTGGTTTCAGTGCCCACGTTCATGACTTAGGATATTTGCTTGGCCTGTCTTATGACATTCTGATGACTCTCCAATGGGAAAATGTGGGTGAAGGTGTCAAAGAAGCCAGAACATGTGAGGACAGCATCGTTGGTGACAACAAACTGACATTTATCTAGTGGCTAGCCTATCACGGAGAATGCTGAAAGCCCTTGGAATATTTTTAACTCATTTTGTCCATGAGCAGGCACCATTCATTCTTCTGGTTTTCTGATGAAGGAAATGAAAGGCCAACATAGGCGAGTGTTTTGTTTAAACATTCCCTTGGTTGGCTGATATACGGTAGAGGGAGTACCAATTGGTCACCTACAGACTTCCCTGCCTTTCCATGGGTCTGGACAAGGGGACTACTATTTTGTTGTAGTTAAATGATCACTTCTAGGGTCATTAGTAATTCACAATCACTTTCATTAATTTAAATGATTTGAAGGTGAGTAAATGGACCTAAGAGTGCCACTGACCCAAACAGCACCTGCTTCTAACAATTTAAAGTACCCGATGGGATTGCAGAAGCCACATCTCCTTATGGCCTAGACATGTACAGCTACCAAAGCTTCTGAAAATTAAACTGCTTTTCAGTGACCAACAGTGTACATCTACCATAAAGCCTGGTGTTTAAACAGTAGGAGCTCAGGATCAAAATCACAGCTTTTAGTATTGTGTTATTCAGTTGTTTAGATCCAGGGGAAATGGGGATTTATCACAAAGCCCAGACTTCTGTGTCTGTTTGAATCACAAAGGTGAGATCTCTCTGTGAGAAGCCATTTATGTCCCATACCTGTGTCTAAGCGTGTTCAAAATTACGCCCCAACACAACATCACAAGCTCAAATGCTGGAGCCTTTATTCTTGTAGGAGCTCCATGGACTCTCTGGTTTTACCTCCCAGTATCTTGTTATTTTTACCTCAGGTACCTCAACATAATAGCTTGTCCTCGGAAGCCTTTCCCCACTGAGATCAGCAGAAGCCACACACCAGTCAAGGAAGCCATCCTAAGGGTCTCAGAAAACCCTGAAGATTGTTTCCAATTCACTGCCGAGGAAAGTGCATTTAAGTTGAGCAAGGTGCCACAGGAAGTCTGGCAGATCCCCTGACAAGGTTACCCTGTTAGCTCCTCGCCCTGGACACCTGCCCCCTCATGCCCCATGCTCTACAGTTAGTAACCTTAATGCCAAGTGTCTTCATCAGCTGAGCAGTGGACAGTCTCAGTGAACCAGGGGGGTAGAGGTGGGGGGCTGGCCACGCTTTCCTATTCCTCCTGTATACAGTGTTCTGCCTGCATGTATGCCTGCAGGCCAGAACAGGGCACCAGATCCCATTATAGATGGTTGTGAGCCACCATGTGGTTGCTGGGAATTGAACTCAGGACCTTTGGAAGAGCAGCCAGTGCTCTTAACCACTGAGCCATCTCTCCAGCCCCTATTCCTCCTGTAGAAGAACATTTCCAACCACTCTCTGGCGGAGGCAGCTTTGCTCCAAACACAGAAGAGCGCATGTGCCAGCCAGCGCATCCCTGCCTTGGAGTTCTGGGCCTGACCTAGAAAGAACAACTCCTGACCTTTCTAAAACCCACGATGGGCATACCCAGACAACTAATTAAGTTCAACCCATTTGTTGTGGCCTCTGTACAGTGGAAGGAGCAGCTGGCTATCTGGAAGGACACCGTTGGTGA